TTTTATGGCTCGACCGGGGCGAACTCTGAAAATGACGCCCCTTCCCGTTTTATCCCCCTGACTCCTTAATGGGACATAGTGAGAGAGACATAGAGAGATTATTGGGGCAACTTTAACGGACTTCATTGAGAGAGAAAGAGAGAGGTGCTTGGGGCACTTTTAACGAGTCCCAGACAATGATCTGGCCTCTCCTAACGGGCCCCAGCGAGAGATGATCAGGGATACAATCAAGTCACTTCATCGGGCCCTAGGTAAACGAGTCCGTCGCACCTACTGGAGTCTCCCCAACACACCCCCTTAGAATATTCTATACTTGCCTGCACCTCACTGATAATTTACAAATATTAAATAGTGCATGCTGGCTTGTTGTGCAAGCGAAATGTATTTCCTGAAATTGCACACCATACAATACAATGAACCTTGATCGTCTCTGATAAGTGTTTTGTGGAGTTAGGGTTTTCTTGATTCTTACAATTTGTAGTATGTATAGCTCAGTGGAGCCCACCTGTTCGTAACTCGTTGAAATTTACGTCTGAAGGTCAAGGTCATCGTCGGCTCGATGAAGTTAATCTTTTACCCGGTGTTTATCTGAAGAGGTTAAATCTGATACACCAGAATTTCCCGGATCACATTTTAATTCATTACCGTTATCAATATTTATTGATAAATGATTATCCCCCTTGCTGGAGCTCTCCCTCTCACAATCCCCGTCAGAAATGTCCACAATTTCGTCACTTCTTGTCGCAGTGGAATTGTGACAGGATTTCTTCATGATATCACTCCCTTCGTTGACAGTTGTCACGGAGTAGCCAGCGGTGTAGTCGGAGTCGGTTCTAGACGTCTTTCTCTCCCTGAAGTGTTTCCGCCTCTGGACCCAAATGCAAAGCACCGTGATGAAGATGATGACGAAAATGGAGACGCCCGCGGTCACGGTGGGTAGGACATTGTCCTTCTCCGAAGAGGACGCGTTGCGTGCTGCACCAAGATCGCCGATGGCACGAAACGTTGAGTTCGGTGGTGCTGGCGTCGCGGCCATTTGGTTCATGTCACGACAGCGGACTGGTCAACGTAGTCCTCGTCACCAAAATCTGTCAGCTGCATTTAATCGCTGGGATTGTGGCCTACATTTTAGGGGGAAGGTATGTTTTGACATCAACGTAGATGGTCTAGAAAATGTGGCTTTTGTTTCCCCTAGCGTCATGACATCTTTTCTGTATTCTCCTTTACCTGGGGTTGTTCGTGCTATTTCTGTGATATGCTGTCGAACCAAGGACTCACCGCTTTCAAGAGGCTTACAGTAAGTTTCAAAAGGGGGAAAAAAAAGTAAAAAAAAGGGGGGGGGGAGAATCAATCAACGCTCTCGTATTTTGAGTTTTCGATTTGATTATTTTGTACAATTTCAATCAAATGTTGAATGAAAGTCTTTGGAATTTTACTGGCGACTGGTGCAGCATTTTTCAGGAGTTTATTTTCGGGGAAATACGGTGCGCTTATTTCTCAGCTCCAGGATCTCTGCATCGTTATGACCTCACATCCACCATGACATCATTACATGCCTTCAGTCAACTCAACCAGAGTTGCTGTTTCGTTTATTTGAAGGACTGCTCCGGTAGCAACTGTGGGATAGATGACAGATTCAGGAGATGACATTATAGGCCCTATTTATTATTTTTTTATAGAATGCAGTGTGTTGTCACTGTAATTAACAGAACATTTATAAAGTTATCCGAACGAGGAAAAAAAAGTAGTGGGGTTGGGGGGGGGGGGGTGTAATCAACCACATGAATTACTTATATACACATTTACAATAACACAATTTTGCTTTTAAAGTTTTGCATATGCACATGTTGAATATAAGAGTGATGAACACGGCTCTAATGATTATCATCAAAACAAGCAACAGACACGAATAAATTGTGGCAAAGACTAAGAAGTAGTAGGCAATTAATAAATCAGAGCAAAGCATGCCGGTACTTGCAGTTTGAAAGCAGAAAATCCAAGTCACAATTCCAAGTCACAATTCCAAGTCACAATTCCAAGTCACAATTCCAAGTCACAATTCCAAGTTGAAATGTCCAACCAAGAGAAAGCGGGCATCTTGTCCTCATCAGTGTAACCACGAGCACTTCAGCAATAATAAACATCCTAGTTTGAAACTTTTCGAATCGTGGTTTTAACATTTCAGATGACGGCCGGTGAAATCTGGGTCATACTAGAAACCAGGGGGGTCCTCAAAATACATCCCGGGGTCTTAACCCAACATGTCTTGCCGCCCCATAGGGTACCAGTGGTTCAGGAACGTCGTTTCATGGTGTTTTCAGGGGCGGGTTGAGGGGGGAGCTAAAACTTGGTTCGCTTGTTGAGTTGTTTATTGCTGGAGGCGCCACAGTACAGCGCAATTTAAATAAGGTCTGAAAATTCAGGGGGGGGGGGTCCGATGGACAGTGAACCTGCCACCTTAGGGAGCGTCCATTAATTACGTTGACAAAATTAACGAAAAGTAATTATGTCAACATTTTTATCTCCCCCTCCAAAAAAAAATTGAATTATAATATAAATAAATATATAAATAAATTTTACTTTATGTTGATCTATTTTTGTGACACAAAATTGTAGGAAAAATTTTTTTTTTGCATCTTTAGCTTTTTAACAATAAGTTAAAAAGTTTTTACACTTAAATCTTATAATACATAATCACTTAAAAGGTTGTTAAAGACTAAATATCAATGTTTGTGAAAGTAGAAATATGATTATTGTCAGTATAGCTGACAATTGTAGCATAGTTTCTAGCGGTTATCATCTTCACAGGGAGTAGCCAGGTTTTGCTCTATCGTAACAACGGGCACAGAAGCTGATTTATCATTATCATCTTGCTGCACTGCTGCACCTGACAAGTCAACATCATCCTCATTAAACAATTCAGCATTTCAAATAGAAGCATTGTCAGTGTGAGCAATACTTGCCATAAGCTCCCTCTGCCTCCTGGCAGCTACTTGCATTAGTCGAATCGTTTTTTGTTGAGTTATCTATTTCAAGATGACTTTTGATGCAAAATTAAATAGATGTTACAGATTTTGCAAATCCGTTCAAGTGGCGATGTCATTATTGTTACTCAATTTAATTTCCCCAAATTCTCAAACTATCGTAAGCCTACTCTATCAATAGCATTTATCTTGACTGCACATTATGACACTTGAACCTTGTCCTTGTTCCATACCAGCAACATGATCACAAACATACCACCCTAGTCATTTGCGACAAACAGAATCTACAGGCGAAGAGAGGCCAACTTTTAACTTCTCCTGCACTAACAAAGTGTGCTAACATCCTGACCAGCCATCAGCAGTGCGCAGACAGACACACATTAAATAAATCTTATATTGTTAAAAGCCTACACATTAAATAACTATGTTAATTTGCATTCATTAAATTTGTTAAAATAATGTAATAACGAGTCAATTTTTAAGATTAAAATTTTACTAGAGAGAACATGATTGTTGACATCAACTAATCTACCCCCTCCCCCATTCCCCATGTCAACAATCGTCAAACATTTCCAAACCCCCTCTCCTTATTTTGTTGACATAATTAATGGACGACCCCTTATTTCAAAATCTTGAAGACCCCTGCTTTAAATGATGCATTAAAAACACTTCAATGAATTCACGGCCGTCAAACTCAGCTGAGCAACCATCTTGTAGAAGCATTTCCCAATATGTCGTGTGATATCGTGTACTAAGTTGTGTATTTGTAGTATCGCGTCTTTCGATCATGACCCTGTGGTATCGCGTCTTTCGCTCATGACCATGTGGTATCGCGTCTTTCGATCATGATTATGTGGTATCGCGCCTTTCTCTCATGACCATGTGGTATCGCGTCTTTTGATCATGACCATGTGGTATCGCGTCTTTCACTCATGATTATGTGGTATCGCGTCTTTCGCTCATGATTATGTGGTATCGCGTCTTTCGCTCATGATTATGTGGTATCGCGCCTTTCTCTCATGACCATGTGGTATCGCGTCTTTTGATCATGACCATGTGGTATCGCGTCTTTCGCTCATGATTATGTGGTATCGCGTCTTTCGCTCATGATTATGTGGTATCGCGTCTTTCGCTCATGATTATGTGGTATCGCGTCTTTCGCTCATGATTATGTGGTATCGCGTCTTTTGATCATGACCCTGTGGTATCGCGTCTTTCGCTCATAATTATGTGGTATCGCGTCTTTCGCTCATGATTATGTGGTATCGCGACTTTTGATAATGACCATGTGGTATCGCGTCTTTCACTCATGATTATGTGGTATCGCGTCTTTCGCTCATGACCCCAAGCTCCAGTAAGCACGAGTAATACATATGTTGTCAAATGCCGTGTTCACTGCTCAAGTGAACGACAAGGTCATGTCGTTCGACCCGGAAGTTTATCAAGTGTGCCTGCTCTTCAGTGTGTACTTCATATATATTCTCAAATTACAAATACTTAACACAGTCGGATTCAAGGCCACAATGGTAGCTATACTAATTATTTCAGTATGTTCAATCATCTATAAGCAAGAAAGTCGCGAGACAAAAATCCAATGTTGCAGCACCCTGTATTCACACACTGTGCCACATTCCCTCTTCCTTATTTCTAAACTTATAAATATATATATATATATATTTTTTTTTTATGAATACATACTGATATAAAGTTTCACGCCATATTTGCACTAGTCTCCCCTTCTAAACGAGCAATGCAATGGCTTCTTTTCATTGTTGGAGCCAATTGTGTTTTAAATGCAAATTCTACAACGGATCCAACATTTCAGACTTGAGAATTAACTCATAAGACCATTAAACAATAAGAACAAATAAGAAATTATTTTTAAACATAACTTTTACTGATTTATTTGAGAAGACAGTTTGAATAAACAATGATGAACAAATGGTGTGATAGCATTGAGGCTGGAGTGATAACAATGGACGAGCCCAGTAACATTGAGATTGACGTCATAACAGTTGACGAGCCCAGAAACATTGAGACTGACGTCATAACAATGGACGAGCCCAGTAACATTGAGATTGACGTCATAACAATTGACGAGCCCAGAAACATTGAGACTGACGTCATAACAATGGACGAGCCCAGTAACATTGAGACTGACGTCATAACAATGGACGAGCCCAGTAACATTGCGACTGACGTCATAACAATGGACGGGCCCAGTAACATTGAGACTGACGTCATAACAATGGACGAGCCCAGTAACATTGAGACTGACGTCATAACAATGGACGGGCCCAGTAACATTGCGACTGACGTCATAACCGTAGACAAGCCATATTTTCCCCATTAGCTAATGCAGAAAGTTGGCGGTTACATTTTATTTCTCTTTCTTTTCCTGGGAATGTGATCATTGAGCTGAAGATGACATTCTGGTTGTGATGTGTGATTGTGATGAATTCAACTAATTATTGGTGCATAGTATAATTGAACTAAGGTGAAGTTATTTGATGACCAAAACAAAGACAAATTTAAATCTAAAAAATATAATACATATCATTGATGTAAACAAAAAGACAATGTAAACTGAAAAAACAATCTTATGTACAAGATGGTTGGATTGATTCAGTCTGAGACGTGAGAGCATCTGTTGTGCAACATAACACAAACATGTTAAAGATATGTAATAATGTATAACAATTCATTGTAATATATGTGAATGTATGTACAATGTCTTCCTTCAAATGTCGGATTATGTGACTGTCACTGATAATCGTCAGGTTTGGGGGGGGGGGGG